TCTCTAAATGTTACCGACGAATGTCGACCACTCAGATAATTTGCCGACCACCGTTGGAGCCTCTGTGGGAGAGAGGAGGCCTCTATATCTTCTAGCAGCGTGGAATGGCAGACGGTGTCAAACGCCTTTGACAAGTCCAACGCTACTAGAATCGTTCTCTCACAGGGACGGTTGCGGTTAAGGCCACGAGTTATCTGAGTGTTTATGGCGTTAAGTGCTGTTGTTGTACTGTGCAATTTCCGGAAACCATGCTGATGCTTCGCTGGGGTCAGGTGGTTTGTGAAGTACGGGAGTAGCAAGGCCTCGAGTGTCTTCGCTACCGGTGAAAGGAGTGTAATCGGACGATACGAATCTCCTTTGTTGGCGGGTTTCCCCGGTTTGAGCAGTGGGACCACTCTCCCCACCTTCCAGATGTCTGGGATGATGAGAGTGGCCATTGACAGGTTGAGGACCTCCGTTAGGTACGCTACCCCCGCAGGACCCAAATTTTTCAGCATCGGCATGCATATTCCGTCGGGACCCATGGCTTTGGAGGCTTTCGCCTTCCCGATGGCCACCTGAACTTCACCGCAAGTGAAAGCAAGGGGGGCACAATTTGTTGGCAGTTTGTGCAGCCTTTTGGTCACTCGACGCTTGGCTTTGTCTACCGGAGGATGCAGTATGAACTGCCGGCTAAAATAGCTCGCGCATCGCTCCGGGTCCGACGAAGCATGGTCGCCGAAGGAAATTTCGACTCTGTCGTCGTGCTTCGTCGGATTAGACAATGACCTCACGGTTGACCAAAGCTTGCTCACACCAGAGGTGAAATTACAAGTATTCAGGTGCTCCTCCCACTTCTTCCGCTTATGTACGTTTACAAGTTGCCGAATCTCCGCGTTGAGATCCCTGATACGGGGATCTCCGGGATCGGCCTGACGAAGGCTATCACGCTCATCAGCTAGAACAGCCGCTTCGGCAGGGAAGTTTGGACGTGGGTCCGATATACGTCCTGCCGGTATGAAGCGAGCTGCAGCAGCAGTGATAGCCCTGCGGAACTTACGTTCACCGAGATGGACGTCGGTTGGTGTGGGGAGCGCTGCGAAGGTGTTTTCAGTAAACTCCGCGTAACCTTTCCAATCAGCTTTGGAAAAGTTGATATAGGTCCGGTGTTTGGCGGAGGCAAAGTCGGTTGGTTTATCAATCGAGATGACTATGGGTAGATGGTCTGATGCCAGAGTCAGCATAGGTCGCCACGATATGCTGTTTATCAGACCAGCGCTGACTATTGTGATGTCTGGCGAGCTACTGCAGTTACCCATAATCCTGGTGGGTGCGTCGTCGTTCATTGTGCAGAATGTCGAATCGTCTATCTGCTCAGCCAAGTCTGTTCCCCTACGATCGTTTGACAGGCTTGAGTGCCAAAGATCGTGGTGCGCATTAAAGTCACCTACTACCATACGGTTTTCACCTCTGAGGAGCGCACCTATATCAGGGTGATATCCTGCCGGGCAGCAGGTGACAGGGGGTATGTATATGTTAAATATTTCGAGCTCGACATCGCCTGACCGGATAGCGATGCCCTGACATTCTAGGGTGGTATCCCTGCGGTCGATGTCTGCTTCGATAAGACGATACTGCACGGTGTGGTGCGTGATGAACGCTAAGCCACCACCATTATCTCGCTCGCGATCTCGACGGTGCACGTTGTACCCGGCGCAATTCAACAAAGTTGAATTGCTGTGCAGCTTCGTCTCTTGGACCGCAGCTATTAATATACCATGCCGACACATGAAGACGGTTATCTCCTCAATCTTGCTCTGTAGCCCGTTACAGTTGAATTGGAGGAGCTTCATGTGGTTCGGGAGACGTGTCGTGATGTGGGGTGTGAGTGAGGTGTATGTTCTTGCCGCCGTTGGCTGTGTGTGCTGCTGAGGTGACTGCCGCCCTGTGGTGGTGGTGGGGGGCGTCGCAATTGACGTCTGCGACCGAGCAGCGCAACACGGGCCCTCGAAATTCCCCGTCCAATCTCGCGTGGTACGCAGACCTGAACATGCCCTAAAGTGGCACCAGCCAAGGCAGGTGTTGCACTTGACTGATGTCACATTACGGAATATTCTGGTCTGACATACCGTGCAGATTGTAGGGGGAACCACGAGTTGTTGGCGGCGGCGTGTGGGTGGTGGTGCAGTTGTGTGTGTTATGTGGTCTGTGGTGGCTATGGTACGGTCTGTGGTGTTATTATGTTGTTGTGTAGTGGCGACTGTGTGTGGTTGCTGTGTGAGTATGTGGGGCTGCACGGGCGGACTATCGTTTGCCGTGGAGGCTGCTCTGTTTGAGCAACAGGGGGCCACGTAAGACGTGGTTTGGACTGTCTGTGTGTCCGTAGTCCCGAGCAGACCCTGAGGTGACTCCACCCCTCGCAGGCATTACACTTGACTGAGGTGGAGTTGTGATGTAATCGTCTTCGGCATACACAGCAGGTGTATATTTCTGGCCCAGGGTTTAACTCGATGCCAGCCCTGAGTAGGAGAATGCGTAGTGAATGTTGCCCTATGGACGGACAACTTCTGAGATACTTCGCCGACCTAAACGGGGTTAGATCGCCGAAACAACAGCCCTTGGTCGGGTGAAACCCGAGTCATTCCGGTACGTAGAACCGGCTGTCGTGGGAATGCGCCCGATCGCAGCGTGCCCTGTAGGCGGCATCTTTTTTCTCTGCAGCTTCCTGACACTCCTCAGCGTACCAGTTGTTCTTTCGGGCTACTTGAACTCCGACTACTTCTTCGGTGGAGGTACTTAATGAGCGGGAAATGTGGTTCCACTGCTCGCATGTGTCGGTTTGTTGAAGAGTGCTCTCTGAGAGCAGGTGTGAGAGTCAAGTAGCGAAAGCGCTGGCTGTCTGTTGTGATTGCAGCTTTTCGAGGTTAAGCTTTCCTTGCATATTTGGGCGCACCTTTTTTGCTGCACAGAGGCGGGTGCGTATCTTGGCTGCAACAAGATAGTGGTCCGGGTCGATGTTTGGGGCTCGGAGAGTGCGTGTAAAACACTGGAAGCTTGCCTTCCGTCTATCACAACATGATCGATTTGGTTTCTCGTTTTTCGATCCGGAGACAGCCACGTAGCTTGATGGATCTTTTTATGCTTGAACCTAGTACTGCATACTACCATGTTTCGAGCCCCGGCGAAGTCGATCAGCCTCAATCCGTTGTCGGACGTTTCGTTGTGGAAGCTGAATTTTCCGACGGTGGTTCCAAAGATCCCTTCCTTGCCCACCCTGGCACTGAAGTCGCCACGCACGATTTTGATATCATGACGGGGGCAGCGCTCGTACGTGCGCTCCAAGCGCTCATAGAAGAGATCCTTGGATGCCTCATCCTTCTCTGCCGTCGGGGCATGGGCGGAGATGAGCGAGATGTTGAAGAATCTCGCTTTGATGCGGATTGTGGCTAGACGCTCGTCCACCGGGGTGAACGACAGTACTCGGCGACGGAGTCTCTCCCACCACAAATCCAACTCCGAATTTGCGCTCCTTTACATGGCAGCTGTAGTAGACGTCACAAGGCCCCAGACATTGTTTGCCTTGCCCCGTCCAACGCATTTCTTGGATGGCGGTGATGTCAGCTTCTGTCCTTACGAGGACAACCAGCCGGGCAGAGGCACTTCCCCATTAAGGGTCCGGACATTCCAGGTGCATGCCCTCAAATCGTAGTCCTTTCAACGTTTGCCGTGGTCGTCATCATAAGGGGGGTCTCATCCGAGGCTTTGCCTTGCTTCTTCAATGGAAGTGGTTTTTACGTGGCGAGTCCCAAGCCCAGCGCACAACCCATTGCTGGGACGGGGGGGGGGTTTCGCAACCAAATACACGTTTATATAGCGAGCCGCTTGCTCCAAGCAGACACCCGCTTGCAGCCGCACCTACTGGTGAACAGACGCTGCAGACTTCAGTGAGCCCTTAAACCGAATAAGTCGGAGTGGCCCCACCGAAGCTCCCTCTCTTTCTGCCGTGACCCAAGGCTCCACTCGGATTGGTTACCGCATCTCGCACATGGGTTGCTCACGTTGCCCAGAGTGTGCGAACGAGGACGCAAGAGTCGGGATTGAGTATAGCCATGCAACTGTAACTGCATACCCAGCGCAATGACTATACGCCATTGCAATCCACTATACCCCATTGCACTCCAATCTCGAAAGCTACTGAACGGATTTTGACGAGATTTTATCTAATATATTCTGTATCGATAGGAGTGACCTTTTAATTTAGAATTTTAATAGGGTTGCGCCGTTAAGAAAATTATTATATTCAATTCTAATAAGCGTAGGCATCACTTCTGCACCGTCACTGTCAAATGAAAAGACTTAGCCTCTGGATGTGTAATGATGTGTCTTCACGGTTCGTTGGATAAAAATATGAGATACCAAATGAAAGTGCATCACCTTCGCGTTTACAAAAACTTTAAGTTTTTTGAGTAGGGTTTCCACCTATTTAAAATTACTATCTTCTATACATAGTATAAAGGAAAGGCTAGATATTTGAATTAAGCTACTGAGTAGATTTAGACAAGATTTTTTAATTATATATAAAATAAAACTAAAAAGTTCTAAATAAAATAATGTAAAAAATATATATTTTTTAAAAACAACCTTTTATTTAACATGTATAATCAAAGGAATAAAATGAGGTTGTGGAACAAAAGATTTTTTAGCAAGAAAATTTTGTTAATACTGCACTAAAATTAATAAAATAAAATAAGTTAAGCTCTCGTTAAAGTTGCTAAAGGCCAAATAGTGAAAGGAATTACTCAAACTCTTACTAATTTGTTATATTTGTGCATTTTATTCATTTCAGTTCAGTTTTAACACGATTTTCTTGTTAAAAAATCTTTTGTTGCACGATCTTATTTTTTCCTTTCATTGCACATGATAAATAAAAGCTTATTTTTAAAAAATATTTTTTTACATAATTTTATTTACGCTATAAACTTTTAAGACAACAACCAATTAATAATTCGCCCTTTGCATACCTTTTCCTGTTGATCGATTTCCCGGTCTACGGATTCAACCTTTTCCAAATACTTTAAATGCAACTCAAGCAATCGGTCAACTTTTTCATGATCATTTTCAGTGAATTTTGAGAGCAATCTTTGTCTTTGCGCTCCTCTGCAGTTTCTTAGCATCGATGCTATTATCGAACAAACATGTTCTTCATGTTCGTCTGTTGACAATAGGCGCTGCTTGTTCCGTTTGGGAGTTTTCATAAACAATGGGAAAATCGTCCGTAAGCCAAGTATATCCACGAATTTATTACAGTTTTCGCGACCATCTGGTCCTGACATGGCATGATCAAGAACCTTAAGTGAACCATTTCGCGACATTTTTTTCTCCCTTAGCATTAGATTCATCAGTTGTAAGCCTTCCCCTTTAAGAAAGCGTTCCCGGTTTTCCTTCGCCATTAATGCGGAACAAAGGCAGTTGAATAAATTTTCCATGTATTCTCGTTCTTCTGTCGATGATGGATCATGCCGCTTATAAATCGCTAATTGCTGAAGCAAAACATCGATGCCATCTATAGTTCCAAGCATTAGACGATTCTCATTATTCGTCTGAATTAATATAGAAAGTATCTCGCTGCAGTAGAGTTTATTCGGGTCGAAAGGCGACTTTTGCTTAAGCCGTTTTAAAAGCCAACCGAGTAAACCTTGTTCAGCCGCTTCCCGTACGATGTCACTGTGCATTTCGGTGAGATTTTCAACAACTGCTAGAGAGTTGTGTACGCCATCAACTTCTTCTTTAATTTCTTCATTAAGTCGTTCTAAATTTTGTACCAAAAGGGCACATACCTGTTGTTTACGTAAAGCCTCAATTAACACGTCCGCACCTTCACTACTTTCACCTAGAAGGAATTAAATGTTGTAGTCTTAGGTAAGGTTAAGGCTAGTTTCTCCAATTCAACTGAACTTAGTTTAGCCACTTTTTGGACTTAAGTCAAAAGTTAGACTACGTTTTACACAGCTTATTCTTGGCTTAGTCAATAAAATTGGCTTAGCTAAGTTAAGTTGAGTTGGAGAAACCAGCGCTTAAAGTTAAAAATTTTGTCCGCTTTAATACTAACCTAATATGTCTACATCGGTAACTTCTTGCAAAAGATCTACGATCGCAACTGAAATATCTGTATTTGGATGTGCGAGCAACTCCAATATGCTTGGGATGCCGTGCAATTCCACCAACACTGGATAAAGATCTGGTACGGTTGCAACGCCCTTCAACTCCTGTATAATTGAATGCAGATCAACCTCCGATTCCATGAATTTTTCTGGATTATCAGGATATTTGATACGCATTTCCTGATTTTTCAAATTCCGTTTTTCAAAAACAAGCAACAATTTTTTTAATCCAACTTCGTCAAGTACGTCACCTTCCGCATCTTCATTTTCAACGTAGTTTAATATATTCATTCTTTCTTCTTCAGTAAGTTCAGGACCAAACAATGCATCTAAAGATGGAACATCGGGCTTCACGAAGTCTGCAGATTCCTTTGCCCGTTCAATTCGACGCATTCGTTTTGATTTTGCCTCTCTTTTCGAGTCTATGGAAGTTCTTTCTTCTGCCGAATTCGCCAAATAATCATCATCATCCTCGTGAGGACGCTTTGGAGTCTGTTCCGGCTGTTGATCAGAGGATTTCAATTTAGTTTTTACCTTAAAATACTTTAAATACTTACCTTGAACGAAAGCAATTCGGCGACATCCATGTTATTTACGTATTAATTATTAGATTTTAGATGTTTACAAAATATGATTAGGATTCAATCGATACAAGTAAATACTCGATACTTTTCATTTGATACCAAGTATTTTTTTACTCGATACATTTTTGTTCGGTATCGAGTAAGTATCGAAAAAAAGTACTTGGTATCGAAAGAGTAATTTCTACTACTTTTAAAACTGTAACCAGCGTTGCCAGGTTGTCCTTTTTAGCGTGATTTGGACGTTTTTTGTACCCAGTTGACGTTTGGACGTTTTTTAGGGAATATTTTAGTAGACGGACGGCAAGTTCTAGAAAAAGGGGGGCTGAGAGGGGGTAGAATAGGACCCACTGATTGCAAAAATATCGCCGTTTTTTCTAGCAACCCAATAGTTCTTATATAATTTATTGTTAAAGTTTTCATATAAACGATGAATAAGATAGCAAAATAACATACAACTTGGTGCTACCAGACTGGAATTTTGAATAATAAAAGCGGATTTTTAATTCGGAATTTTCACTTAGTAGAATTCTCCTTTCTGTTTTGCGAAGAAAAGGAGCTGAATACCGTTTGCAGAGAACACCTTTCTGCGTAGGCGGCCTTCGGCCGCACTTAGGGATTATAACCCTCAGGCAGTAGAATTCTCCCTTCTCTTTTGCGAGGATAAAGGAGCTGAACACCGTTTGCAGAGAACACCTTTCTGCGTAGGCGGCCTTCGGCCGCACTTAGGGATTAATACCCTCAGGCAGTAGAATTCTCCTTTCTGTTTTGCGAAGAAAAGGAGCTGAACACCTTTTGCAGAGAACACCTTTCTACGTAGGCGGCCTTCGGTCGCACTTAGGGATTATAACCCTCAGGCAGAAGAATTCTCCTTTCTGTTTTGCGAAGAAAATGAGCTGAACACCTTTTGCAAAGAACACCTTTCGGCGTAAGCGGCCTTCGCCCGAACTTAAAGCAAACAAATCGGGCGGGACCAACACCGCCTACGTCATAGGCAATATTTTTGCACAGGGGTTCGTTACCGGAAACCCTCATTGATAATAATACACGCCCAGAATAAAAGTAGCGGTAAATTTTCATTTTCTTTTGTATTGATTTCCCCTGTATTAATTTTTAAACATTGCCTTCCTTGTATGTATTATTTTGAACAATATGGCAACACATGTTATGTGTCAGTTTACAATAAGTAAATATGGGTGCAATTCAATGTAATTTACAAGTCGACAAAAGGTGAATTAAAGTGATTTATATACAAGATAAAATAAAATAAAAGTGTGTAAAGTATTAAGTACAGTGTTATGTATATTTATACATATGAAAGTATGTGACAAATGCACTTTTTGTTAAGGAAACCAAGTGGAACGACTTAAGAAATTTTAACAAAAAATAACTTATAAACAATGATATTGTTTATATTTTTTAGTTATACATGTTTGAAAGGATACCTCCCTTAACATTCTGACCAAGTTTCATCTGTTAATTCCACCTGGTTTTCTTAAAACAAAAGGTGCGGCCCACCCGTTTTTTGTGTAAAATATAACGTTTTTTAACTTCCCCGTAATTTTTCTTTGTTACTAAATCTTATAAGTAGAACAGATTTTGAATTATTTTCTTAATAAATCTTTACAATCTTTGTGTTTTGCTGCAGCTGCTTCAAAAGATTTTTTTCTCGATTCTTGGACTAAGGATCCCGTGTTCAAAGGCTGGTTGTGTAAACACTTGAGGTTACGAGGCTTGCTGTAATGTTTGCAATTGCACATTAAAAGCCAATTCAGGAAGGACCGATCTATTGCAGCAGGCACGCTCGCAAAAGCATCAAAAAAGCTGTGCAGCTTAAAACGTTATTATTATTATATTAGGTCCATTCAACTTTTCCAGTAAGTACTTGCAGCGAGAGCGTAAAAGAAAAATAGAGAGTAAAATTGAGAGCAAGAGAAAATTTTCAGAAAAAGTTATTGAACGCAAAACTAGTAAAAACTTGCAACTTAAGCCATTTTAACACTTTCTGCCGGTTAAGTTCCTTTTTAATTGGTAATAGTTCCCATCGTCATAAAAATAAAAAATATACAATAGATTTAAATTTTTCATCCATATTTTCCTTTCACTAATTATCCTCTTAAACAGTTTGTTTACATTTGAATTTGAAACATAACCTTACTTTTTGACTCCTGCAAATTCCTGCTAGTAAAATTTTTACTTGCAAGAATTTGCAGCTCTCTCGGGGTGTCATGCTCTCGAATTCGCCCCCTCCTGCAAATATTTTGGGTTATGGAATGCATTCCCAGTAAAAACTTGCAAGTACTAGCAACAATTCGTAACAATTTTTTGATATTGAATGGACCTATTGCTATGCTCCTTCTTAGAAGAACGTAATTTAGCATTTTCGACAACCGAGCCCCTAACCAAATGTCTACAGGAAAAAAAATTATTAAAAATCAACGCTATTATTTAGCCCCTTTGCACAAACTTGCTATCAAACTGCATACTCAAAAAAAAATTCTATAAACTCTGAATAAAAAGTTGAAAATCTAGCTGAAAGTTTGAAGATTGTTTATAATTTTTGTGGATTTATATTTTGTTTGTTAATGAGCTTGGCTTTTATGGAAAAATAATAAACATTAAATAAGCGAAAGAGAGACAGCCAAAATCGATCAAAAATATTGATGACTTAATCAGCTGATCACAAGTGTATGTATAAAATAATTTTTATATTAACGGCCAGTTTACAATGAATTTTAAATGTGCTCTGTCGAAATGACATTTTAAAATATGTGCATTACGTACATATCGAGCCCTAACCGCCAAAGTAACGTAAGCGACAAAATTTTTTTTGACGCAGAGATGCATCTAAATGCTCTAGGAATATTTCTGCATCAAAAATAAAATTTTGAAAAAAATGCCGCTTACGTTATTTTGGCGGCTAGGGCTCGATATGTACCTTTGTATACAATAAAAGTTTAACAAAAACAATTTTTTGTACATCCAATTGAAAACGTTTTTGGGTAGGGAATGACGTTTTTTTCAACCAAGAGGGACGTTTTCTTATGCCGAAGACCTGGCAACACTGATTGCAACGGCAACTCAACAAATGACGCCCCTTATTAGGCAGTCTGCACACGGTTCGTATAGCTTTAGCCGCGTATAAAATTTTTTATGCAGCAACGATTCCTCTACGCCTCAAGATCTGCACACGAAGCAACTTCAAAGCGTCAAAGTATCAGGCAAAAAATGTTAAGTGATGCCAAATTATTATTTCTTTAATTAATTTTCAGTTATTTTTCTATTAATTGCACGAATTTTATTGTTTTATCGTTTTTTTTTTATGAAATGCATGCACGCACACGGAAAATTGTAAACAAGATTCTTCTTCGTTCGCTTTTTTAAGCGTACGTACGCCTAGCTACCAACACTGCTGTACGCCAAGCGATGTGCAGCTAGCTTGCTTTGACGAATTCATGAAGCTGAAGACTCGTATACAGCCCTCCATTTAAACGCACGTGTGCGGCATCAAAGCGTACAACTTGCGTATGTAGCATCTAATACGCGTCTAAAGCTATGCGACCCGTGTGCAGACTGCCTTAGAGTTTTCGCGAAAAGGGCGGTCATGTAGTAGAGAAAGTAGAAATCGCTTGTCTGGAAAGCATTTAGAAAAGTTGTTGTTTCTGGAAGTCATATATGTAATTATAACTAATATTGTTCCTCAGCAATATACCAAAAGAAATAATACAATTTTTTTTCATAAGTAGTTTGTAAATGATGCAGTGCGCTGTATACTTATAGGGGTAACCTTATGGATAAGTGTCGGATTTTTATTTTTATTTTCAAATTAATTTAAGTTACTTTTTTATAAAAATATATAGTTCAATCAGCGACGAAAACCATGAAAGTCCAAGTCTCAAGATTTGTACAAAAATTAAAAGAAAATCAAAGTTTCACCAAAATTAAACACTTTTTATTCAGAATAAAAAGTGTGAATTTTGATGAAAACGTACTAGCGCAAAAGAGAAGGCACAAGTTGTCCCTTCTTATTATTTACGTTCTTTGATGAAACTTTGTTGATTTGCTTTTAATTTTTGAACAAAGTTTTAAACTTGGATTAACAAGGTTCTTGTTATGGAATGAACTATATTATTTATAAAAAAAGTGAATAAAACTAATTTGAAAATAAAAACAAAAATAAAAATCCGAAACTTATCCATATTGGGTGACCTACACACTCATATGACTGAAAATATTATAGCCTTATAGCCTGTTCCTTGGTAATGTACCACAAATATTAATTAATAATTATTTAGTATCCTTACTAAATAACTTAAATATATACGTTTTCTATACCTGCAACTTTATTGGCTTTTTATTTGATTTTGACATACAATGTTTTAAACCATGATAAGACGTAACCATACGACCTTTTACAACAAATAAAATTATAGTTTAAAAAACTAAAGCCTACCTATTATAATTGTCATTAGTACTGTCATCAGCAGGGAACGGATTTTTAGGACCTAAAAACCTATAAAAAAGGCAAAATAAAATAACGAAATAGGCTGGAAAAGGCAAAATAAAATAGCGAAAAAGGCAGGAAAAGGCACTAGGTATTGCAAAAAAAGCAAAATAAGGCACTAAAAAAAGACGATGAACAATCAAAAAATACATTTATTTTAGAAATGTTTATGTTACAAGTAAAAAGAGAAAAACTATGAACTAGTTTCATTATATGAAAAATTTGTACTTTGAATCTTTGACTATTTTATCCTTTCGAGTTTCTAACTCATAAAACTTTAATCTGTATAGTTGTAGTAACATTGAACAACAAGATGCATTTTGACGTTTTCTGGCAGCATTTCCATTCGATTTTCGCGAAGAAAAGCCTTGAATGTACTAAATGTGCGCTCGATGTAAGTTGATACAAGTGGAGCCGTATTTAAATATGGAACGTTTGAAACGTTCATATTATCAGGAATAAGGGCGTTTTCCTCGCCCTTTACAATTTTATCCACATCCCTTATTGTCTCCAAGCCTACGTTAGCTGAGAAAATGGCTTTGAATTTTTCCAACACCAATTTGGCAAGAGGTCCTGCGCTTCTATAAGCTGCATGGGCATGTGTATATTTTTAAATCTTTAAAAAAATATTGTAAATGCTATAATCACGTTTTTAAAGGTAAAAAAGGCAAATATCTTAAAAAAGGCAAAAGGCAACATCAAATGTGTATATATGAAATCTGGGAAAGCTAAATCGTGGACATTCTTAATCGAATATACTCTATATCTTTAGCAGAAAAAGGCAATTTCCATAAAATCCGTTCCCTGGTCATCAGGTATGAAACTTGAGAATAGAAATCGCTGCATCTTTTAGGCGCATCAATATTACATAGTTACATCCCGAGCTAATAAAGGGAAGGTACTAATAAACAGGGAAGTATCTCTCGAAAGAGATGATGAAAACAATTCAAGTAACTACTCGATACTTTGCCGATACTGAATAGGTATCGATACTTTCAGTCTTTGGAGTACAAGTACTCATTAGAGTGATACCTTAGTGGTATCGGTTGAACCCTAAATATTACCATGTTCTGACCGACATCGAAAACATGTTTTCGTTGGTAAAACTGGCTTTCGATCTAAAACTTGTGTTTTCGTCCATGTAAAATCTGTCAAACGAAAACTAGTTTTCGCTGAAAACCACTTGAAAACTCACGTCTACTCATTCCAATCCGTGTCGCCACTAGGTTTTTTTCGATTATTTATCGAAGTGGAGGTCATATTTTATCATCTTTAGTACGTAATTTTGTATTTATTGTTAATTGGCTGGGCACAAAATAAAGTAAGCATTGAAGTAAAAGGTTGTTAATGAAAAGAAATTGAAGGAAAAGTATTTTGGTTTTGTTTTTGTGTAGCAAAATTGTAAACAAAGGATGTAATAAGTGTTAACGAAAACACCAACAATCGGTGTGAACAGCCTTCAGCCCACAATCTCAAAACTCGTTTTCAAGGTGTTTTCGTTGTCAGGCAGAACATGGTCCCCTTTCAGACACGTCAAGTCTTGCTTTCAAACCTGCTCGTTCGTTGGCGAAGGAGGTGGGAAGAGAGGGGAAGAGTACAGATTCCTTCGTACCGTCAATTCGTTTGAAGTTTACTTGTTCTCTTTTGATCTTATCGTTGCTTCCCATTTAAAGATCCTAGGACTTGAATTCAATAAAACTTGATGCGTGTGGAAGCAAAGAGAAAACACAAAAGAGAATGCGATAAAAATTGCTTTAAAGACTTGACGTGTCTGAAAGGAGACATGGTATATGATTACATGTCAGAGACGACATGATTCGATACTTTTCCTACTCGATACTGATCCTTTTGCTCGATAGTTACAAAACGATATAGTTTGGCGTGTTAGAATAGAGTGTAGCTAAATATAAACTACTAAGTTTTCAACAAAAAATCTTATTCAATAGTAAATTTCAAATATTTTAAATATCTTTTGAATAGGAACTTATAACTTTTTTACCATCTGCAAAACTGGTTTACGTACCGGTAGGCTTACGTTCGTTACTAATTTCAGCTTAACCGGCCGTCTTTACGGGAACAAGTGCAGAATACCCATGAACGGAAGACACAAGATCACGCGCGAACGAAAGAAAGAAAAAAAGGATTTTTCTAGCTGTCGAAATCTCGACGCCATCTTTGTTGTAAGAAGTAAACAACGAAGAGAACGAAAAAAACCGCGTAATTGTTGAACGCATGAATAATCATTTTTATTATACAAATTCTCCTATAAATCATGTCATTGTGTCAAATTATTCTTTACCTTATGTGTACACACGTTGTCATAAGCAAAAATGAAGAAAATTCCAGTAAAAGGCCAAATTGTAAGCAACGAACAAATGTAAACAAACGGCTAATGTCAAAATCGCACAACTTTTTTCCCAAATGTAATTATAACGGGCAGCTGGTTTGCTGGCGTGATCTTGTATTTTTGGCTCATCCAGAATACCTACATTTCTCTACTTTGAACTGAAATAACACCAGTAATTATTATTTCCCTCCAAAAAAAGGTACACTGTTATGATCAGGACTGAGAGCCCTATCGATCCTAATATAATTTTTTGAAGTGAAACTTCTTATACTAGGTTCACATAAAAGTAGATTATCCTCATTTTCTAGCTTAACTCCCTAATCTGTAATTAGAAAAAGAGATTAACCATATAAAAATCGTTCCTTGTTAACCTGTAATTATAAAATAATCTCAGATTTAACCGATAACTTTTCGGTGTCCATCCTAGTTTTATAGATTGTTTTTGCCAAGAAGAGGAGAAATGGAAAATGTAAAAGTAAACAAAAATGGACGCTAGCAAGGAAAACAGGTTTGTAAATGTATTTTTTAATAAAATGTTAAGTTAAAATATATTTATATTGCTTAATATAGCAGAAAAATGTGATCACGGTGGCACAGAGAAGAAACATAACTTTTCCTTGAGATGTGAGAATAACAAGCACAAAAAATTTGACGGCTAATAATCTGAGATTTACCTGTGTAAACGGGGTGATTAAAAACGAGCTTTGATTGAGATAATATTTATATTTGAACATACTTTTAGGCGGCGGTATCGCATAAATGGAGAGTGAAATTTTTAAAACTGAAAACGTTACATGAGTGAGAAGGAATATAAAGGTAGGATATGGAAGGGGAAAAAAGAAATAAAGCGACGCATGACGGGTACGAGTACCTACATATGTATATATGTATGTTTGAATGCACGTATGTACGTATATGTATACAATATATTTATGTATGAACGAACTCATTGCGCATTTCAGCTCTGCCGCTACCACAATATAACCAGTAAACAAGCTTGGGTGAATTTGTCGACTGCCTTTCTCGGGGATGAATATTTCAGGGATGAAAATATTGGTACACGCGCCGAAGTTTTGCTTTTGAGAAACAATATAATTAGCTCAAAATAGTTTCAAAAAATATAGTGTAAAACGAAAATTATTAAATAATTCTACATTAAATTATGTGTATAACTAAATGACTCACTATGTAAACTATTAAAATACAACTTGTTTCATTACCCTTTTTGTGCAAAATGATAATGACTATCTGAACGCTCGGAGCGCTGCCACTAAAATGAGAAACTACAGAAAAAATACGGCTCTGGTGTTACTTGTGCCGTGGTGAATATATATTTCTATTTTATATTATAAAAAATCTGCAAAGTGTCGGCTAGATTTTCAAGTTTTTATTCAGATTTTTTAGATTTTTTTTTTTGAGTATGAATTCGCCTTGGAAGTTAGAAAGCGAGTAAGGATGAATGCCGAACAAAGGAATTTGTCTTCTTCCAACTTAAATAAATGTATTTTGCAAACAAAAGTGCGCACGTTACTTAGTGCCTTGGTAATGGCGAATTCGTAAGGATCTATTGATTGCATTATTAACATTTTCATTTATTTGTTAAACATACAATTACTTCCATTACCACCCGGTCTTATGGATGCTAGAAGCGCGAATTCATATAAGGTGGTGTTACCGGAAAATAAATAAATAAATTATATGTATATCAGAAAATTAATAAGATGAAGTGAAATTATTGTTTGATTTCTTACCAAACCTATGTATGTAACTCAATCGCCTAATGGTTTGCCGAACCGTAAACATATGTTTACACGTCCAATTTCGTGAGTAGGTACCTGGTACTCACACCTGTTTTAAGAAGTTTCACTTTTATCATGTGTACGGTGTTACACACGCATTTTTTTCCAATAATAAACGGTTAGCTGATTCAAGTCTACAGCAAGTTCACAAAATTAATTGAAAACTTGTATCAACCAAAGAATTGTTTATATTTGCTCATGATTCAATAATACAAGGTTGGATAAATATTGACATTTGTGTCAGTCGACTGCCTTGTAAGGTTGCATTTGAGAAGGAAAGAGAAGCGGGTAACAATTTTATCTCCTTTTGTGAAAAGGTAGTAGGAAACATTAGTCTGGTAGTGCCAAAGAACGTAGATAACAAGAAGGGACAACTCGTTATAATTGTGGCGAAAGTGCGCAACAGGGGCGTGCCTTCTCTTTTCATCCAATCAAAAATCGCACTAGGCCAAAAGAGAAGGAACGCCCATGTTGCGAACTTTCGCCACAATTATAACGAGTTGTCCCTTCTTGTTATCTACGTTCTTTGGTTGTGCTGAAATGCGTTTTTGTATACAAATTAAATTAAATATATAAAGAAGATTCCACTGATCTACACAATAGACAATAAATTAACTTTTTATGGCCACATAAATATTAGAAATGAAATAAATGGATATTCACATAAAATTCTTGCCAAAGAAAAATCTTTGAAATCTTTGAAGAAATGTTCCCAAATATTCAAAATAAACCATGGTTTCATTGAAATTCCGGTATATATTAAACAAAATTAATGGAATTCAAACAAATCCTTTATTCAAAGGGACTATATGAAGAATTATACAATTGGTACAGATGCAATTGATTTAATGCATATAAATTAATCTTTTAAAAATTATTATATTTGATGCATTTAAAGATTACATGTTCAATATCTTAAATTGAATTACATTTGGTTTTTTTTAATTTAAATTTTTTAGTAATGTTTTCTACTTTTTCCTCCAATCAGTCTTGCTAATCATTATATTGGTTACATTTAAAAGTTATATTATCGGTAAGTTATGTTATCGGTTAAACTTTAAAACTATGTCTTCAATATCGCAATTTAGTTACATTTCGTTTTTTAAAAATGTTAATTTTTTTGTAATGTTGTTTACTTATTTCTGTAATCAGTCCCAATGAGCACAAGAAAATATCTTTATTAATATTTCCACTTTCGCTTTTATGGAGTGGTACACTTACTTGTAAATATGCAAAGGCTGCACTTGACCAACCCAAACGCTGCAGGGGTAAAAATACATGCACCAGCAAACGTGGACGGGCACCCAAGTGATCCTGACCTTCACAAGAGAATATATTTATTAATATTTGTATTTTCTGCACCAGCCATACGTGGACGGACACACAGGGATCCTAGCATGCAAAACTTACTTGCAACGGCTGCACTTGTTGTAAAACGCTACTTTTTGAATACAAATTATGAATAACTCCGATACCCTGCAAACAAATATTTAAATTATTGTTGTAATTCAAAATATTTCAACTATTTTTGATTTTTTGCCATACTTACTTGAATTTGCCCAATAGGAAAATGAATTTCCACGAAACAATCGATGAAAATATCGGCAGTGTTGCCTGTTGAACTTTTTATACGAAGACAATATTTCTCCTTGTATTTTAGTAGTAGTTTCTACAAATCGAAAAAGAAGGCAACACAGGCTAAGGCAGAATGCGGGAGCGAGACAACTGCCAGGTTATCCAACCTTGTATTATTGAATCATTATATTTGCTCAACAATGATTTTATTCAACTAGCAATATTGTCCAATCATGGTAGTCGTTTTGTAATTATTAACAAACATACATTTGTCCCAAATAGAAGTCTAAGGGCCGGTTACTCAATGTCTGGTTAACAATAATCTCCGGTAAAACATCGTTGTCGAGGTTACCCACTCCATGTTATATGCATGGAGCCGCACACGTCGATAATGATGTTTAAACGGAGACTAGTGTTAACCAGACATTGAGTAACCGGCCCTTAAGTAAATTGCAGACTGTCGTGAACTTTATATTTATTTCGCCATATCCAACTATGCCACTTGGTCACTATATCCAAATCTTGGTTATTATAAATAAACCTTTTTCTGGGTGTATGAGAAAGGCAAATTAATCTGTTTAAATGAACACCACTAATATTTCTTGCAAACACACATCGATTTACACCTTTTATCTCGCGTCCGACACAGAATTGCTTTCGTATAAAATTAAGCAAAAAATCAATTTCTTACACAGAGAAAAAAGGATTAGTTTCGACAACTACAGATATTTAGTTCCCGAATTTTGACAATATTCGGGAACTGTTACCAAGGACTGGGAACTATTGCCATGGGTTGGCAATTATAACTAAATATATTAAAGCTTCTAATATTCAGCTAGGTTGTACCAAATCGTTAATTTAGTTGAAGGGTTTGGTAAATACTAATAAATATTTTTTTGAAGCATATTTCTACAAATTCCATTCAACTTAACGTATGGTTCATAAAAGGATGTCATCAAGCTCTGCTAATACAGATAAGCTTTCTTTCAACACATGGTTTAGTCATGGCTACCAAATCTTAGGGCCGGTTGTTCAATGTCTGATTAGCACAAATAGGAGGTAGAAGCTCCGGTTAAGCACAACTACTGCTTTATCGACCACACACCAACCACATTGAACAACCAGCCCTTAGTTGAGGCAACCACGATTTAATTTGAGAGCGAAACATATTCTTGCACGATTGAGAGAATACAAAGGTTGCGCCGATCTCGGACCGCTATTCCTCTCTTAACGAATTTGACAGAATCGTGGTTTGCATGACGTGACACTTGTGCAACTTGTTTACGTTTTCCTTGCAACATTTTTTCTTCTTCTTCCATTCTTGCTCACGTTTTGGCATTTCTCTCTCGCAATTGCACCAGTGTGACGTCACCCAAAAGTTATTCTCAAAAATCCTCTCTGATCGGCGCAATCTTGTATTCTATCATTCTTGATATTCTTGCTTATGAGTCACCCCTAAATAATGCTGAGCGCTCTCTGAGCACATGAGTGTTTCACATACGAATAGCGCCAGCTGAGCAATGCACACAGTCCCAAGAATGATACAATACAAGATTGCGCCAATCGAGCTGAGAGCAACTGGCCGTGACGTCAATAAACAGTGTTGCCATCTTTTGATTTTCAAAAAGCATCAAAAACTTGGAAAAAAGCGTTTTATCACACTAAAAGCACCAAATTTTTTTGAATCAAGGGATGCTTTTTTCATAACACAATACCGAAGTACTGCACATTAAAACTGGTATATCTCGAGAAAAAAAATCGAATCGCATCAAACGAAAATGATGCCCTAATTAGAAATGAGCAAATAATTTGTTGTTTTCATTATATAACCTCAAATATCGCTAAAAACCGTGTTTTTATGACTTTGAGGTAAGGATATCTCAAATTCTAGTGCTAGCGCAATTGTGAGGCCAGATTTGGATTCAGCACCAAGAAACGATGTGCTTTACTCAGGTGGTAAAAAAAAACAAAATTTGTACAAATAATGAGAAAAGAAAAAAACAAATACTTAACTTACTTGCGTACTAGCATTTTCAAAGTGAATAGAATTTAACAAGGTGGGTTTGCAACTTCAGCTTTTTATCAATCATGGTTGTATTTTAGTCCATTTATATTTGTAGATTCTTGTAAATTCAGTGCTGCCACAAGCCTTAAATATTCCAAATTATTTCAGGTTTAAACTATCTCGAAGTAATTTTAGTTCAGAAAAAAAACACTAAAAAAGGCACTAGGCACTAAGTAATTTTTTTTTGGCGTTTTAATTTTCAAAGAGCACTAAATCTAGCGCTTAAAGCACCAAGTTGGCAACTATGTCAATAAATACCAGAATGAGAGAGCAAGACGAACTCGACAAGAAAAGAGTAAGCATCGGACAAAAGGCAGTATTGCCAAGTTTTGAATTTGAAAAAGGACAAAATTTTTATTGGTGTATTTTATAGACTATACGCATACATAATTTTATTGTAAGGATGCCGATTCAAATTAATAAAAATCAATGTTTCTTGCACGAGGGTTGATTTCTTCTGGCATGATTGAAGGTGCTGTCACATATTTTGTTGTCCCTTATGATTGTCACAGTGCCATGATTTTGTTTAAATTTTTGTAAAGTTGCTTACCACACTTACGATTGCTATAAATTTTGCTAAAATTTTTTTAAGATTTTCTAATTTGGTGTCTTCAAACTAAAAACAAAAGCACCAAAAACGCGCCAATCACCAAACTCAGAAATTTTCGCGTTTTGAATACCCACTAAATTTGGTGCGAAAAGCATGAAGTTGGCAACAGTGAATATAAACAAAAGTATTTTATGACGTCATGACG